TTTTTTTTTTTTTTTTTTTTGGGGGGGGGGGGGGGGTCCTGAACAATTTTCACTATAGCAGAATACACCCCCAACCCTATTATAGTTATTACGGCCCAGAGATAAGGATCCCTGTCAGGGTCCCTCCAAGGGTTCCTTCAAAGGCTCTATCAGGGCTTGGGGTGGATAAATGAACTGGAATGGAAGGGAATGGAGGGCATGGAAGAATGGATAGACAGATGTCGTTGACATGCACATGTACACAGACACGGCAATCTTGTCCTGGTACTTTTCCACCCTTGCCGAGTATTGGCAAACCAGAGCCCTAAACCCCGAACTCCAAAAATACGAAACCTGAAAAAGCGTGAGCCTGAAAGCCCAAGTACAGCATGCTGACAGAACGGCCCGCCCCCCACCCCAAAAGACAGGACTAAGCCCTACAGTCTACACCCTGTACCCTGACCCTTAACCCTAAAACCCTAAANNTAAACCTTAAACCCTGAACCCTAAGACCCTAAACCCCCAACGCCAAACCCAAGTTAGGTCGCAGACTTCTGTAGGTGCTTGAGAAGGCACCCGGTCCCTGCCTGGGGGCCTCAGCCGGGGGGCCGATGGCTGACAAGAAGCCGAGGAGTTGGAGGCTCTAGGGCTTTTTTGGGGGGGCTTTAGGGTTTTTGTTCGGGGGGTTTAGGGTTTAGAGTCTAGGCTTTAGGGTTTAGGGGTTTAGAGTTCAGGGTCTAGGGTTTAGGGTTTAGGGTTTAGGGTCTGGGGTTTGAGGTTTAGGGTGTAGGGTTTGGGGTTTAGGAGGGCTTTAGAGCTTCAATGTAGGGGCCTAAATTGTTAAACTAGAGTTTGGGGGTATGTTATGCTACTATAAAAATAATAGGGAACCTCAACATAGTATATAGGTAATTATTCAGGCCCCTGTATTATGGGGTTTTGGAGTTTAGGGCTTATAAGGTTTGGATTAAGGGGCTTCAGGGCTTTGGGGGGGGTGGGGGGGGGGTTCAACGTTTCGTGGGTTTCGGGGTTTTCGGGCTTTGGGTTTAGGGCTCAAGCTGGATTTAAGTTGAGTTTGGCATTTCCGTCCATTCGCACTCTCTGAGGTCTTGTCGGTGCTGTTTTGGTGCTTTTTGTGACGGCTTTGGGGGCGTTGCAGGGCTTGGGTTCGGGGCGTTAAACCCTAAACCCTAAACCCAGAAAGCCCTAAACCCCTAAAGGTTTGGTTTTGGGGGAAGCCGTAAGGCTCTTGCCGTTTTAGAGACGTAAGGAGCTCAGATGAGCAGCGTCAGGGCATTTGCTGCAAGCCCTAATGCAGGGGCCTTAATAATTAGAATAGGGTTTTGGGGGTATATTAAATATACATAGTCATAATAAGGAACCCCCAAAATGGTATAGCTAAGTCTTACTTAGGGACCGAGTACCTTAGCCGACAAAAAGGGTTAACCTTTTGAATCAGAATAGGTTTATATAACGAGCCCCAAAAGGTTAAAGGTTACTCACCCCCCCTAAGATTAAGGCCCCTATTTCAAAAAAATGGGAGGGGGTATATTATACTATAGTCATAACAAGGACTATAATCATAATAAGGCACCCCCAAAATGCTATAATCATGATAAGGAACCCCCACAATAGTATAGGTAAGTATTCAGACCCCGATATTAACCCCTACACCCTGATGCTTTGCGGAGCTGTGCAGCGCGGGTTTGGGAGCTCCGGGGCTCCCGGAATCTTAACCAAAGGGTTTAGGGTCTCGGGTTTAGGGTTTAGGGTTGATTCACAACCCCGAAACCTAAAACCCTAAACCCTAGTCTGGTTCCCTGTTGAGGCCATATTAAAAATGCTCATTTTTAATCCTTATTAGGGTTTTATCATAACAAGGATGTCAAATCGTACCCAACAAGGATCCAGTAATTAAGTCTTAAACTCTAGACCCTAAGCCGTTTTGGGCTTTCGGGTTCTAGGCGGTTTTGAGTCGAGCCGAGGTGCTAGGAAGTTGGGCTTGTACACGAAGCTCTCATATCGCGCCATGGCGCGGGGACCGTGCTGCTCGCCACTACCCAGGATGCCAGTGGAACCTCTGTGACTTGGTGCCGTGATATTCTTCAAGCTTTGTATAGGTTATATGCATGTACGTGTAGACAGATATACATATAGATTGAGACTACCACTACTGACTAATTGTTACGAAATTGATGCTAGCTTCCAATAGACTAACACTCAGGGGCTTGGATCTAGACTTGAGAGAGCGAATTGTGCGCACACGACAAAGCATCGGAACTTGATCTGGCATATGAAAGGAGCCTAGGGTCTCGGGCTTAGGGTTTGGGGGTTTCGGCTTAAGGTTTAGAGGTTTACAGTTCAGGGCCGTTCAGGGGTTCAGTTCAGGGTTTGGGTTTAGGGTTTAGGGGATTAAAGGCCCAATCGTTTGCTTGGCGGCACAGCATGCTTACAGCGACTAAGCATGAATCCGGCGCACTAAGCAGCAACCTTGGCCCTACGAATTTAGGGAGCCAGTCTGTACTGGAGATCATAGAAGATGCCGTTCAGGTTGATATCGACAACCACGCTTCCAGTCCTCAATATCAGAATCTCCGAGCCGCACTTGCTGGCATCCGACAACTCCAGCGTTATTCACCAGGGCATCCAGACTTCCATGGTATCCTCAGGCAGCTTCTACTTCTTGGGATCAGATACACCAGCATTTACGACCCTTCCGTTGATCTCGTCGGCGAGCTTCTGTCCGTCCTGGCTTCTCCGAACCCCTGGACTCCTCTTGTGGCGAGTGCAGCCGGCACGCCGACATACTGTAGGGGCCTTACTAATTAGAATAGGGTTTTGGGGTATATTATGCTATCATTATGAGGCAGAACCCCCAAAATAGTATAGGTAATTATTATAGGGCCCCTAAATAACGCATCAAGATCTTGACATTGAGGAGTGATTTTCAGGATCCAAAGCTCGGAAAGCTGCGACGGTGCTGAGGTGAATGGGCCCCCCGAAAGGCGATATGAGGGTTCTCTTCAGCGTCCAGGCTATGGAATTTTTAGAGGTAGGGTTGGGGTTTAGGGCTTAGGGCTTAGGGTTCAGGCCTTAGGGCTTAGGGTTTAGGGTTTAGGGGGTAGGGCCTAAGGTTTAGGGTTCAGGGCTTAGGGTTTAGGGTTTAGGGCCTATTAGGGTTTCTTGATTGCGAGTTCCTGAGCGGCCATGCCTGGCATTCAAGTGTCTACAGGAGGCTGCCCCTGGAAGTTGAAAGGAGTTGAGGACAACTTTAAGGCAAGAAGTGGGCGTGCGTTGCCTTTTCAGCCGCGAGCCCAGGAGAATACACTCTGACACTGATATGTCCCAGCTCTACCGCCAAATCCTGAAACCCAAAAGCAATCAGTAGAGGGGTCCAGAGTCCAGATTGATCCAGCTTTCCGCAGCCAGGCTCCCCACACGCTCATGTTCCACAAGACGGCGACAGATCCTCGGTCTCCAGACCGTCTGGAACCAAACACCTCGCACTGTTCCCGTCAGCTTCGGAGGTCGGGGGCTCTGCTGCCGTCTTCTCCTGGGTTCCCCAGTAGCCCTGGGTTCCTTTGAGGGTTTAGGCCCCTTCACAACAAAGGGTAAAACCCTAAACCCTAAAGGAACCTACAGGGAAGCCCAGAAAGGTTGGAACCTGCATTTAGGACGATTAGTACCAGGATCCCCTTATGCTTTACCTTAAAAGCACCGGGCACCAGGAAAATGATGTTCCAACTTTCTGGCCTCGACTTTAGTCTCAATGCCGCTGCTACTCCAGGGTTTCCTGGTTCCCTGTTGGGGCTATATTAAAACTGATCACTTTTAAATCCTTATTGCGTTCTATTATAACAAAAAATGTAAAATTGATCATTGTTAATCCTTATTGAACTATTGGGTTTTATTATAACAAAAATGTAAAATTGATCATTGTTAATCCTTATTGAACTGTTGGGCTTTCTTATAACAAAAAGTGTAAAATTGTAGCCAAAATCAAAAGGACCCAGTTTCGGATCGCTACAAAGGGTCTCCGACACTCCGAGCGCAGCTTCGCGGAGCTCCGCCGTTTCTTTATCGGATCCTTAAGGGAGGGTGGTTCAAGCGGGGAGGGTCCCAGCGATCCTTAGGGAGCTTTAGGGAACCTAAGCCCTAGGGTTAATTGGGGATTATTGGGGTATATACCCCTCTTAGAACCCCGTCCCTTAAGGATCCCATAATTTCTGCCTTGGGTCCGTGTCTGCTCGAAGCTTCGGCTCAGATTCTCCGGCGCTTCGGGGGAGGGGGATTCTCCTCTCCTTTCGGCAGCTTCCCTGGGCGTCGATGTCAAAAAAGTCCCCAACAAAAGCGTTTAGGGTTTAGGGCTTGGGGCTTATAGGGTTTAGGGTTCAGGGTTTAGGGTTTAGGGTTTTAAGGTTTAGGCATTCACCCCCAATCGATACCTAGTCACGGAGCCAGCCCACGGGCCCTGGCTTCAGGGAGCCGGCATCGGAAGGCTGCATGCCGCATGCCTTCTGGGCTTCGGTGCCGGGCTCGCCGGCTTGCGCCTCCCGACATAGCTTCTGCGTTGTGTCATTCCTTGGGTCTTCATAAGGAACTTAACTTAAACTAAGTTACCATCAAGCGCAAGCCCGTTTGTTTAAGTTGCCATAAAAAGAAAGCCCTGCTGGTTATGACAGATCCCTGTTTTTGTAACTTGAGTGAAACTCCTTATTAACAAGAACCCAGATTCGTGTCCAGGAGAGCTTCTGACGCCTCCTCCGCACCGTCGTTGAAGTCCCCGTGGTGATCTACCACCCCGCTCCTGGAGCGCGCCATCCAGGTAAGCAGAGCCTCCACGGCGGCCTTCTGCCTTCTTTCTTCTTGTTAAAGACTTAAGTTACCAGAAAACGTCAAACAAGCCCCTTAATCCTAAACCCTTACCGAACCCTGACTAGAAATTGAAAGAAACCATCGACTTTGAGAAGCTTAAATTCTTCAGACCTAAACCCCTAAACCCTAAACAACTAATCCCGAAAGCCCTAAAGCCCTAAAGCCCTAAACCCCTAACCCGGCCTTGGTGTCGGCAGCGTTTGGAGCGCCGAGCGCCCTCCCAACAGCAGACGACTTGGCTCGCTGGAGCTGCCGCCGCGGCACTCCCTGCGCACCTCCTCCGCACCACCTGTTAGGGTTTAGGGTTTAGGGTTTAGGGTTCAGGGTGGTCAGAAGCATTACCAAGAGGGTCCATGTATACTACCATTATGGAATTGGGTCCCTAACACCATAACAAAGATGATCTGTTGGGACCTAGTTCCATAATGGTAGTATATATGGCATAATATATGGATCCTCCGGGTTAGCGTCTGCCTGGTTTTTTTTGAAAGAACGATCCCCAAAGAACCTCTCTGACCTATGGCTTTTACGGACACCTATAAGGACATTATGAAAAAGGAACCCTGGGGGCTAAGGTTTGGAGTGAAGTTGAAGCGTGAAACCCGAAACCCCAAGTAGCGGGGTCTAGGGTTTAGGGCTTAGGGTTAGGAAACGTGAAACCCAAAACCGTTTCCGCGCCACCCCGCTCCAAGTGAATGGCCCGGTACGCATAGCACTGGCACTTCAGCAGGTGACCTGTGCAGACTCCACTGGGCCCTTAAGCCTAAACCCTTGTAGGGTTTAGGGTTTAGGGTAAAGAACCTGAATGTTTAAGGACTCATGTATACAAGTGAGTCTACCATAACAGGGAACCCGGTCTAGGTACACCCTAAGAAACCAGAATTACAGAACTTCCCTAGAGCGGCCTGTGGCTAGAATGACCTCATAAGACAGCGCCAGGTCTTCTGACTTGCCTTGGCGGGCATGTCTTTTGCAGAGGTCAGAATAACTACCAATTTCCTGATTGTACGCCGAAAAACCCAATTCTATTTGTTCGGGCCCCTGCATTAGCAGGATGGGTGTCTTGCAAACAGGGCTTGCATTGGTATTCTCATTTACAACAGTATACTTCAAAATAACTTGCATATACATATATGTAACATCTCATGTACTATGATATAGATTTATTATAAAAACAGTTTCCATATTCTACTATGATATACTATCACAAACTAATATATACCAAAATCTTGTACTATGGCATACAAGACCGGCAAATCGGAAACCCTAGACCCTAAACCCCTGAACCCTAAACCCTAAACCCTGAACCGCTAAACCCTAAACCCTAAACTAGAGCTGTCATCCTCCTGGCCTAAG